TTATAATTAATATTATTATTATTATCTTCTCTTCTAACTAGTGTGTTTAGTTTTTTTAATAATTGTATCATTCTTTTAGTCATATCTTTATTTTTTTAGACTTGGTTGTAGACATAGACATAGATGATTTGGTAGACTTATTAGATATAGCAGATATAGAAACAATAGGTTCTGTATATTCAATAAACTCAGTAGACTCAATAGATGTAAAAGAGCTAGCAAGCTCAGTGGATATTGGTTTAGCAGATCTGGTAAAAGCAATAAGTTCAGTGAAATTAGATAGCCTAGTAGATTCAGTGTGTTCAGTAAACTTAGTTGTTTTGGTAGATTCAATGAATTCAGTTAGTTCACTGGATTCTTCAATAAATTCAATAGGTTTATTAGATTCAATAGATATAAAAGAGCTAGCAAGTTCAACAGATATTGGTTCAGCAAATCTGGTAGAAGCAATAAGTTTAGTGAAATTGGGTAGCCTAGTAGATTCAATGTGTTCAGTGAACTTGATTGTTTTGGTAGATTCAATGAATTTGGTTAGTTCAGTGGATTCTTCAATAAATTCAATAGATTCATTAGATTTAGCAGACATAGAAGCAATAGGCTCTGTATATTCAATAGACTTAGTAGACTCAATAGATGTAAAAAAGCTAGCAAGTTCAGCGGATATTAGTTTAGCAGATCTGGTAAAAACAATAAGTTTAGTGAAATTGGGTAGCCTAGTAGATTCAGTGTGTTCAGTAAACTTGGTTGTTTTGGTAGATTCAATGAATTTAGTTAGTTCAGTAGATTCTTCATTAAATTTAATAGGTTCAGTAAGTTCAGTAGATTGAGTGAATTCTGTAGTAGAAATAGTAGCTTGTTCAAAATTTAAGAATGATTTAATAGAACAATTGCTTTCTTGATGAGAAATATCTATATTTTTAATTATTTTATTAGTTTTCTCTTGATATTGTAAATATTTAGTATTATATTTAACACATTTTTGGTGAAAAAAATATTTGCATTGTAAAATTGTAACTGATTCATTAAGCTTTGTATCGATAACATCTTTGCATATAGCACAAATATCATGTTTATTTATATCTATGTTTGATGGAATATCTCTATGTTCTTTATGAAAAATAATTTTATAAAAAAATTGGTTTAAAGATTCCATTTTTTTAAAAAAAAGTAATCAACATCAATTTATATTTATATCAAAATTAAATTAACTTAATCTTAAGATATAGCTATAATGACAAATATACTTTATATAATTTAAACTAATATAATGATAAATATACTTTATATAATTTAAACTAATATAATAATACATATACTTTATATAATTAAACTAATATAATGATAAATATAATATAATAACAAATATACTTTATATAATTTAAATTAATATAATGACAAATATACTTTATATAATTTAAACTAATATAAGATAATAAAAACATGTTATTATATTAAATTTATTAATATATCTAATAACAAAAGTTATCATTATATTAATAACAAAGATCACTGCCACAACAATTTTGTTATAGATAAACCTTGATTTTGATTGGCTAAGAGTGATGATCAAAAATTTAAGCCAAAGTTACTCGAAATTTTACTAATAAAACTACAACTGCACATTAAATAAAAAATATTTCTGGGATAATTTTATCATTGTCCAGGCCTATTTCTCTAAAATTTTTTATTTTAGGAATGAAAAAGTTAAAAAGTTAATTCTGGCCAAAATTATGTAATGCAAGCCCAATCTGTGACAAATTTGTTGTAGTAGCTAGGTTCAATCATTACACATTGGTGTGAATAGTCAACTATGTAAATCAAAAGTATGTGTATTATTATATTTAAATTAATTATTGAAGATTTTTCAACAAATGATAATTTATAATAATTATTATAAAAATTATTACAAATATTTAAATAGATGCATAGCTTTAACGGTATGATGAATTTGGTTAAACTTTTGCAAAAACCAGTATTACTTCTCTACAAGCAAAGTTTTAGAACTATTTCTTGAAAAAAGAAAATCCTTTCTTTCTTGTTTTTTTTCAAGAAAAAAAAAACTAATATTTTTTTCATGAAAAAAGGCAAGAAAGAAAGGATTGTTTCTTTTTTCAAGAAATAGCTCTGTAACTTTGCTTGTAGAGAAGTAATACTGGTCTTTGCAAAAGTTTAACCAAATTCATCATACCGTTAAAGCTGTGCATTTATTTAAATATTCGTAATAATTTTTATAATAATTATTATAAATTATCATTTGTTAAAAAATCTTCAATAATTAATTTAAATATAACCACCCACCCCAATTACATGCATATTAATATTAGATAATGACGAAAAGAATGATACAATTATTAAAAAAACTAAACACACTAGTTAGAAGAGAAGATAATAATAATAATATTAATTATAA